ACTTTTAAAGTGTCTATTAATGAATGAATGGATAAAGAAACTCTGATATGTGTACACACACACACATACAAATGGGATATTTTTTAGCTGTAAAAAAAAAAGTAGATTTTGCTGTTCACTACAACATGGATAAATTTGGAGCTCATTATGCTAAGAGACTAAGCCAGGCACAAAATGAAAAATAGTGTGTTATTTCCACTTATAGGTGGAATCTTAAAAACAAAGGTCAAATATATAGAGACAGAAAATAAAACAATGGTTACCAGAGTAGGTGGAGAGAAGGGAGGAAAAGGGGAGATGTAGGTCAAAGGATAGAAAGTAGCAGATATATAGAATACACAGATCCAAAGGGTAATATACAACCTTAATAAAGTTGTACTGTATTAGGGACTTTTGTCAAGTAAGTAGATTTTAGCTGATCTTGTCACACATATGCACACAAAACTATGTGAGATTATGGCTATGTTGATTTGCTTCTCTACAGTAACTATTTTACATATCCCATAGCAGCATGTTGTAAACCTCAACTATACATAATCAAATATTTTTATAAAAATTTGTATAATATTATCTGTACAAAAGGAATTAAATTTAAATCATTTCTAGGCAAAATGGAGATAGATATAGGGAAAATGACAGTGGAAAAACTGGGGTTTGGATTTTCGAGGGAAATGACATTTCAGGTTTGTGACTTTGGGTTAAAATTTTTGGATGGGATTCTAAACTTTTTATTCAGACAAGAATCTCCAGAATCTCTTCCAACAGAGCTGGAACACCAAATGAGCCCAGTGTCTGAAAAGATCGGGTATGGTGGAACCATTACTTTTTTCCTTCCTTGATTCAGAGCTGCTGCTAACTCCACCAGGCCAATTTGTGCAAAGGACAACAAAGCACAGGCACAGACACAGCATGTCCATGGCTCTGAGGCTGGCCCATGATGATGAACGCTATCAGAGCAGGGGAAGCAGAGGGCAGGAAGTGTTGCAGAAGCAGATTCTCAGGCTGGCAGGCAGTAGGTGGACTAAGCAAGGGCCCAGTGACAGCCAGCACTTCCCTAAAGACATGTGTTTAGTGAGCATTCTCTGGAGCCATCCTGAGCCCAGTGAACCAAGAAGAGAGCTCAGGGAGAGGCTTTCTCTTCTGCAGGCTTGATCTTCCATGCCCAGCATGTGGTAGAATTCCAGGGCTTCAGAGACATTAGATCCTCACACGACTGGGCAGCTCTTGTTGCTGAAGGATAAAATCAATTCATACAGAGGACTAAACTATTACTCTGCAACATTAACCTAACTGCCAACTTCCTGCTGACAAGTGCTGTTTGGACAGGCCCAGCAGCACCCTGGGCTATGGAAGATAAGGGCAACTCAGGTCCCTTTCCCTTCCCTTTGCAAGGGAGCTGAGGTGGCTAAGAGCTAACATTTGCAGATGCCTGCTTATCAGTTCACTAAGTATGTTACACCTACTCAATAGCCATCTTTACTCTCTTGAGATTAGATTAAATGCAGGTGGACAGAGTTATTATCATTGATAAGTGTGATGAAAGAGGGATCCAAAGAAGCTGAGTCACTTTCCCAGGCTATAGTCAGTAGTAGAGACAGGATTTCAGCGTTGGTCTTCCAATTCCTTACCAACTCAGTACCAGCAGCAACCATCCCCAGGCTTGGAAGTGTTATTACAAATCACATGGGGAAAGCAGAGTCCTTATGCCTGGTTCAGAGTTTACTAAAAAAACCAGAAAAAGTATGTTAGCTCTATTCTGAGGGAGGTGGATGAGTATCCTCTTTTGGTAAATCAAACTACTCATTATAGACCAAGGCCAACAGGTAGGAACTCAGAAGGGTCCATTATGCCCACAAACAATCACCAATACAGACTTCCAGAGGCTTTTCCTGAACTGCAGGTGAGCCTGAGAAACTGCCTTCCTTTCTGAACACCAGCTCATGGCAGGGAAGATCACCTCTGTCCAAGGTAGAAGCCTTGGTACAACAATGGCCACAAAGCCATAAAGCACTGGGTAGCAGCTCTGGCACACAGGGGATCTCATAGCTATTGAGTGGAACAAAGTGGCCACATGAATTGTAAGTGCAGAGTTTGGTGCTACTGCAGAGCAACCAATGGAGAAAGCAGAAATATTGGATAAAAGTCCAAGTATACCTGTTGCTCCTATAGAATGGACTCAGAATGTGAATTGGAAAGGACTTTGGTTAGTTCTTCCTTACACTGCACAGGTCTAGGTTATGCTTTTTTGGGCAACAAAGTCGGACCAACCCTTTATTCCCATAGCAGTGCTTCAATAATTAGAAGACAGCTTTCCTATGCCTCTCCTAAATTCTCCCCAATGGAATCTCAATTTTTGCAACTTCCATTCAACTGACATGGAGCATATGGTAATGGTTACCTCCTCTAGGGCCCTTCCAGTTCATTCAAGAACATTCTAGAATGCTTCATTTAGAATATAACGTATTACAACTCATGACAGGTGTGGTCTAAAGTACAATGGAACTGTTACTTCTCTTGGTCTGTACATTGTTCTTTCATTAACTCAGTCTTTGACAGACTTCATACTGTTGTACTTAGTCAAATAAAAATTCCAGAACTTTTATTGGATTTAGGTCATTTCTCCTTCTAAGATAAAAAGTTGATGAGGAATAGGAATGAAAATCTTGAAGGTGAAAAATGCAAACTTAGTGTTAGGAAACATGAATGAAATATTCTCAATGTACTGTTGCTTTACAGCTATCCTACAGTGGGATGGGAAGAAAGAGAAAGAAGAAGAAAGGGGAGAAAATCAAATTTTGGTGAGAAGATTCTAAGAAACCAAATCACTGTTCTCTTATTTGTTTTTAAATATGGGCTTAGTTTTATATGTTAAGCCAAAGAAATCTCTGTAATTCTGGACTTACTGAAGATCTTTAAGTAGTTTTTGGTGAAGTTTAAGCTCATCATGGTAAACTCACCACAGAAAGGGCATTCATTCAACACACACTTATGGAGAGCCTGTTATAGGGCCAGTCAATGTGATTCCATGAGATTTGCTCTTTGGAGTCTTTTCAACATCTCTGCTCACACCAGTGTTTAACACCAGACTCACTGATCTAAAGAGCCTCTCAACAGGGCCAGGTTCAGTAGTAACAGTAGGGGAAAGGTAACCCAAAAGCTGAACAAATGTGGACATGAGGAGAATGTGATCATGAAGAGCCCGTGAAATGTAAAAGACTCCTGTAGTCTAATGGAGGAAAAAATAAGAGTGTCATAAATGACTTATTAATCTCAGGAGGTAAACTGCAAATGAAAATATTAAGATATTTTAACAAATGACACAACAGGGCTATCTAAAAGCTGTCCCAGACAGCATGTGGATTTAGTACCTGCAGTGGCATTTCAGAAAAACTGGCCTAGGTTGGACAGGGAAGCTCTTGTGGACATATGAGATCTGAATGGAGGGACCATCATGTACTAGATAAGCAGAAATAGGAGGGAGAGCATTCCAGAGGAAGGTGGCATGAACCAAAATGAAAAGGGAGGAAAGCCAAATGTATGACTTGGGAAAGCCAACACAGCACCCACAGATGCTCTGAACTCCCACTGGGAACAGACAGGAAGAGATGGCAGAAAAATGGACATGCCTGTAATCCCAGCTACTTGGGAAGCTGAGGCACGAGGATCCTAGATTTGAGGCCAGCCTGGCCAATTTAGTGAGACCATGTCTCAAAATAGAGAGGAATAAAAAATAAAAAGGGCTAGAGATGTAGCTCAGCACTCCCTGGGTTCATTCCACACACACACACACACACACACACACACACACACACACACTAATTTAAAAAATGATAGCCTCCAAGAGTTTGATATCAATTATTAAAACCACCAGCTTTTTTGTTTTTGTTTTGTTTTTTTTGAGACAAGGTCTCACTACGTAGTTCAGGTATACATTGAATTCACTATTATAATTCCAGGCTGGTCTTAAACTCATGGTGATTCTCCTGTCTCAGCCTCCCAAATGTCGGGACTACAGGTGTGCACCACCATGCCTGGTTATTTTTATTTTTAATTAAGAAGGAAAATTTAGAAGGAAAAGAACAAGATCATGTATGTTAAATCTCACCTGCATACTATAAGCTGGGATATCTGAGAAGGGAGTTACTGGAATCAAAACTATCAGGCAGCTTGCCCTAGAGGGAACCCACCATCTCCCCTCTAATTCCTGGGCCATGTGGAGAAGAGTTTAAATGATGATGATTAACAAGACTTCGCAACAGCAGTCTGGTGGGAGCACACACATTTGTCCTAATGAGAATTGCAGTAAAATCCAAATGGGAGACATAGATGAGAGGAAAAGAAAGGAAAATGTTTCAAATCACCATCCTGCAGTGATGTACTCAAATGTAAACACATGGATGACCAGTGCAGAGTTGGAACTCATCAGTACTCTGCCAATGGCATAAGACAGGCACTGGTTAGTTGAGATGTTGGTGGCTTATGTTCAGTGTGTCCTCCCAAGCTGGAGATATGCGTGGGTTTCTTAATCTTTTGTGGTGAGGTATCCACATACTTTGGTCCATTCCTCTTTATAATCAGCAGTCCAAATTTTGCAAGGGTCTGCAAGCTAGAAGGTCCCCAAATAGAAGGAAAGACCTGGTGTTTTCAAGGATCCAGCAGCACGGGATTGGCTTCAGAGTTAAGGAGACCCAAGTCAGTCACTGACCAAACACTAACTGCCTGGAGCCAGGGCATCAGGCTTACAATGAGGTAGTTTGTCTTGTATACTTTTTCCCTTTCACAACACGTCACATCCCCAAAAGGCCTTTAATTCCCCATACTTATTCCAGAACAATGCCAGAGAGGAATTTGGGGGACAGTGTTTTAGACACCATTACTGGGGATGAGCTGATAGGAGAACTGAGGGTAAATGCAGATGAGGACCTGGTGGGTAGATGGAAGGCTCTGGAGCCACACAGAGGTGAGACACACACAGCACTGCCTCCAGGACCCCCACTTACCAGCTTGCTTTTGACCAACTTTTCTATTGCACTGACAAGGTCTGCAGCAGTAGGTACTTCAGTGGAAGCCTGCCGGGCTGCTAACAAAGAGGAGGACTGCAAGACATTGGGCAGCAAAGGAAAAGCAGATTAGCGAGGAATGAAGAACAGCAATTAGGAAGCAAAGCAGAAAGTAAAAAGTTCAAGGCAGGCGTGGGAAGAAAAGCTGTGTGTTTGAAGGGAAGAGATAACAGAGGGAGATGGGGGACAGTGGGGTATAGGTAGTCCTGCCTGACCTTAAAAGGAATTCTGGCCAGCAGCACAGCACGGATGGGACTGGGCTCTCCAGAGGCCTCCAAAGGAGGGGAAAGAAGGGTTATCGAGTCCCTGGGAGGCCACGGGCGAGGCTACACCTACTGACAGGGGCAGGGGCTACTACTCTGAGGGCTACTACTACTACTACTACTACTACTACTACTACTCTGCCCATTGCTATTCCAGGATATGAAAGAAATTCACAAACCCAGCCTCACATGTGTCCAGGGAAGAGCAAGTCCTTGCTTTACTGTAGCCTTACATATAGATCTTCACTGTGTGCCATGAAAAAATGCTAGGGGCAGGGCATTCAGAGACCAGAAAGCTAGACACCCTTTCCCCATAGTCTCTCCCTTACACACACACACACACACACAAACACACACACACACACCCCTGCCCTTCCACAGAACACGGCTAGCTCTCACCAGGCCCCAAACGGGAGCACTAGGAAGTAATGAAGGACTTTAGAGCTATTTTGAATCCCATGCCCAGCGAGTAGGGTCTATAGCCTATACCCAGTGAAGGGAGCCTCAGCTGAAGGACCTCAGTGTCCCTCTTTCCCTGGCTCCAGCAGGAAGGACTTGTTCACATGGGTGTTTGCTCAGTGGTTTGGGAATTCCCTCTGAACAAAGGGTGGCATTCTTTTATCTGTTTGTTTGCGTGTACTTCTTTTTTTTTGAGACCAGGTCTTGGCATGAAGTTCAGGCTAGTCTTAAAATTATTATATAACCCAGGCTGGCCTCAAACTTACGGAGATGCTCCTGCCTCAGCCTCCAGAGTGCTGGGATTACAGACATGTGCCACCATGCCAGGCTATTTGCTTGTTTTTTCTTTCCTCGTTCTACCCAAGGAGAAACTGGGGCAGAAATGGGTAGCCCTGTATGTGTGTGTGTACTTTTAGCCAGCATTTCAGAGCAGAGAAGAATGGTGTTCTCAAGCTGGGATACAGGGACAAGGACAGGGGCATTAGAAGTTGAATGTCCTGACCTTGCCTTGGCCAGTTCCAAATATTTCAGAAAAACAAATGTACAGAAATCAAACAGGTATGAGGGATATTAAGTATCTAAAAATGGACTGCTGTCACCTGCCCTATTTCTGGCTACGAAAAGGGCCATGCAAATGTCTGGGGGTGAGTCTGCATTCTCAGTTAAAAATGATCTAGAAACAATATAACATCCACTTCCCGCAAACAAGCTGTATTTAAGGGAATTAGAGGGAGAGGGTTTGTGACCTTTCCTTATCTTAAGCAAGCTGTGGGTGGAATGGCAGATACCAAGACATGAAAGCCCTCTACTCACTCTATTCTCACTGTTTACAGAACCTTTTACTACAGCAGACCTCTGGGAACCCTAGAAGGCTGATTCTCATTCCCATCCCCAGGTGAAGTACGGGCATCTGCCTCTGAGAGTCCAGGACAGGCACAATGCCATGCTGCCTACTGCTTTTCTTCCCAAGAGTCCAAGGTCAGAAAACTGGCTCAGGAAGCCAGAGCCAGCAATGTCACTTCAAGAGAGGCAGCAATTGTGTACTTCCTGTGGGTGAGTCCCATGGAGGGGCTCCACCTCTTAGTCAGTATTCTACCCCTACACTGTCCCTCTAGCCTAGGAAGACCTCAAGTAATGGCTATGGGTGAACAAGCAATGGCAAAGCAGACAGAACTAAGTAAGAACTGGGCTGTCAACAGCAAGGCTGGAGCATCTGCAGCAAGGCTGCAGACACCCTTTGAACTGCATCTAGGGGGACCCACGAGGGCTTATATCTTGCCTACACATGCTGGGCTCACAGCCTTGAAGGAGGCTGCCCAAGTCCAAGGCAGAGCACTAAAGAGCACAGGGTGCAACCACTACCGGGACCACTTGGCTCTGAAAGCAAATGGAAAGGACAAACACTGAAACCACTACTGTCATACTCACAGTCCAAGAGTCCCAGGTACACTAGGAGAAGGCCAGGATAGCATAATGAAATGAAGGGATAATCGTAGGAAAGCCATAGATGAACAGTCAAAATGGGCCTGTGCCCGGGTCAGTACCCGGAAGTCAATACCATCAGGTCAGTGCCATTCATCCAACCTGAGCCTCTGCTCCAGAACAACTGAGATGACTACCAGGTGATTAGAGCCGCAGTGGCCATGGACATTGCAGATGCTAGTGAGTCAGGGAATTTTGCAAAACAAAGTACTTGGGCAATTTAGCATTTTATTATTATTATTTTTGTGTGTGTGTGTGGTACTGGGGATCGAACTCAGGACCTCGCACTTGCCAGGCAGGCGTGGCACCACTGAGCTATATCCCTGGCCCTGTGGCATTTTATACTTGCCTTCTTTCGACAATAACCTCCCCATAGCAGCATCTCTACCCTGTGGGCTATGACTGCAGAATTTTAATAGCACTGGGCTTGACTTGAAGGCATCACAATCAAATTTGTGAGCTGAGCATAGGGAAGACAACTAAAAGGTTGTACAGTCAGGTACAACAAACTGGTCACCACCACAGATTCCTTTTTGGGACAAATAGTTCCTTTTATGATCTGCCATCTCCAAAGACTGAGCCTTTATCAACAGGATGAGACCCCAGCCAGATTCCCACTTTAAGAATTCTCCCCACACCCTACACTGCCCAGAATGAAGTCAGACCTCCAGGACTGGGAAGAGGGCACCCACTAAACACAGAATCCCTATCACTGGACCCACGTGGGTCACACCAAAGGAGAAAGAGTGCCACTCCCCCCAGCCCCAACATCACACTCGAAATGAAGTCCCATATGCTACGCATTGCCCTTTCTGATGAGAAAGCAGAGGTCCTACCATCTCGTCCTGGGTGGGGTCATTGTCAAAGATCTTCATAGGTGGAGGGAGGGGAGTGTGCGACTCTTCATCTGGCTCATCTTCACCCCAACCTTTCTTGCTCTTCTAGAACAAAAGAGCAGCATTAGTCACTGTTTCACACAGATGCCAATAGCTCAGAGCTTGACATTTTAAAAGTACTGTACATGAGGAAAGTTTTTCTTTCAACACACCCCATCCTCCTGGTTGCATTTTCCTCTTCTGTAATGTGGACCTACTTGCCTATTTCAAAGGATACTGAGGACCACACACACACATACACACACACACACACACACACACACCCCACAAAAGAAAAAAAGCTATCTAACTGATTAGAAAGCAAAAGAGCTAAGGGCTGGGGATTTAGCTCAGTGGTGTTGCCACCTGCCTCACAAGCACAAGGGCCTGAGTTCGATCTCTGGTACTGAAAAAAAAAAAAAGAAAGAAAAAGAGCTAAAAAGGTGGCCAGAGAATATAACTTCTCTGACAGGCTATTAAACCACAATTCAGGTGTTACTAGGCTCTGCCATTTCCAGAGAGAAACATGGCAGGTGGTATAAAATTACAAGAAGAAGTCTGGTTACACATCAGGAAGAATCTCCAAGCCTCATCAAGGATTACAGTAGGATAAAACAGGAATAAAACAGATAAAACAGGAATCTCATCCTTAACCAAAACATACCCCATGTATGTTTAGGCTGGCTTTGAACTCACTATGTATCCTAGGCTGATCTCGAACTTGCCCAATCCTCTTGCCTCAGGCTCCAAGTGCTGGGATCACAGGTATCTGCCACCACACCCAGCTGAACCCATATATTTTTGATTATAGAATCTCAGCTTTGTGAGCCTCCAAGATCACTCAGACTAACCTCTTGGCTAAGAGGTCTCTTGGGTCATTCTAGTATGGGTTTGCATTGTCTGCGCTGCTTCTCAGGAAGCCTATCCGTCACTGGCTGTCCTCTTGATAGTTCCTTGCTAAGTTGAAACCTTCATCTGTGCATCATAGCTCTCCCCTCTGCAGTGACCCAGAATTGACACTTGTCTTGAGTAATGAGAAGTGCTATCTACTGTTTTCAGAGTAAAATGAATGTATCATTCTTAGTTTAAACAGGTCTGGCCAGTTTGATACAGTCCTCAATAGAGGAAGATGACCAACTATGTTGCCTCAGGCCAGGCTCCTATCTCCAAAACTGGCACAATGGTTTCTGTCTGCTGGATAATCTCAGTCCCTGAATGGCTCACACAAATCAAAATGTCCAAGTCTCAAGAATAAAGAGGACTCTAATCAAAGAGGCTCCAGATGACAAACTATTGGACACTAAGACGGGCTATCAGCAATAGTGAACGTTTTAGAGCCTTCAGTGACACAAATGGCCCACTGTAGCACGTGTGCCACAACTGGGCTAGATTCTAGAGCTGTGAAGGAAGCATGTCAGAGGTCCCTTCTGGACAGAAGGCTCAGGCCCTAGCAAGTACCTCATCAGCACTGTCTCCCTGTGGGGTCGTCTCATCCCCAGGTTTTGGAGATCCCAGGTCAAAACTCTTCCGACCATCTCGTACTTTCTTCTGCTTTTTGATGTTTCCATCTGCTTTCCCACTGTTGAGCCGACGCACGGGACTTGTCAGCCACTTCTTAAGGGTGTTGGTGGAGCGCTTGGGACCAGGGGAACTGTGGATGGAGTTGAGAGAAGGCTGGCCCTGCAGGTTGGCCACAGACTCAGACTTGCCCCCGTTTTCACTGGAGGAATGAGAATACGCATCTGAGAAGGAAGAACAGACAGACAGACACAGTCAGGTCAGAGGCAGTTAAGGCAGGCTGGGGAATAAGACAGCTCCATCCTCAGGAGACCAGGAACAAGTCGGAAGGTTAGACTCAGCTGTCAACTCCAGTAAAGGATAGCCATGATGTTCACTCAGTTTTAATATGTGAGGCACCATGGCAAGTGTTGTGGAAACAGAAGACAAAACCTCCTGCCTCCATGGAGTTTATATTCTGATGCGATACACATATAATAGAATATGACAACAATAAAATAAGTAAACTAGATAGTATCAGAGATAGTGAGAAGAGCCATATTGACAGAAAGCAGGAGAAGGGAGTAGGGAATACAATTAAATAGTTGGTGAGGGCAAGTCTTATGACTTTGTATTTGAGCCTAGATCTAATGGTAGCAAGGGATAAACCGTGCAACCATTGGCAAAAGGCATTCTAGGCAGGCAGAAGGGCAAAAACAGAAGCCCTCAGGTAGGACCTGGGGTGTGCGTGGGCTGGCTTCAATTGAGTGTACAACAGGAGAGCAGTAAGAGAGGTCAAAAGCAATAGGGGCTGGGCCATGTGCAGTGGTGGCCAGTATTATGCCTTTGTTTTTTACCTGGGGAGAAAACCCATCAGAACTCTGAGTTAAGGTGACACAATCTGCCGTACGTTTGAAAAAGTATACGTATTATTTGTTACCCATACTGGGAACACTGGAAATAGAGAGACTCATGAGGGTGCTGCCACACTACTCCAGATAAGAGATGTTAGTAGTTGGAGGAAAGCAGTACCAGCGGTTATCAGAAGAGACTAGAGTCTGGATTTGTTTTGACACTAGGGCCAACAGGGTTTTCTGATGGACTGTGCATGGGATATGAAAAAAGAAGTCAGGATAACTTAGGCTCTCGACTTGAACAGCTATTAGGATGAGGTTCCTGAAATGCAGAAGACTCTGGGAGAAGCAGGTTTGGGAGGGGAAGACAGGAGTTTAGTTTAAGACATCTTTGAGAAGCCCGTTAGATATCTGAATGGAGAAGCTAAATAGTAGCTTATCAAGTTTGGAGCTCAGGGGAGAAAGTGCCGGTCAACTGGAGATGACTGGAGGGCTGTCAATATAGAAATGATGCTGAAAGCCATGACTCTGGGTGAGGTCATCAGAGGATATGGATATGGATATGGATGTAGATATGGATATGGAAGTTGGAAGCAGAAGCAGGGAGATGAGAGTACAAGGAAGCGGCTAGAGAAGAGGTACATAAGCAGAAGACAGGGTCTCCTGGAGGCTGCATGAAAGACAGCATTTTATGGAGGAAGGAGAAATCAACTGTGTTAAATGCTGGTTGATGGGTCAACAGAACTGATCTAAGAATTAAGTCTTAAACTTAGCAACATGGAAATCACTGGTGACTCTGCAAAAAAGCAGCTGTAGTGGAACAGAGGGGGCTCACTTGATGAGAGAGAATGCCAGAGAATGGGAGAGAGGAGGAAAACAGAGTAGAAAATTCTTGTTTTGTTTTAAAAGGATGGTGATTAGAGATCAAGAATTTGTTTTGTTTTTAAATGGTTGAAATCAGCATATTGTTTATAAGTTGTTATGCCATTTTCAGTATTATAATGTATTTGCAGTAGCCTAAGCACTTTACATGGACTACATAATTTCATTCTCATGACAACTCCATGAGGAGCTCTATTATCCTCATTTTACAGAAGATGAAAATGCAGAGTTAGGGAAACCAGTCATGCCCAAGGATATGGAGCTCCTAGGGGCACCGTGAGATCTGAATGCCAGACAGTCAGATTTGAACTAAACCACAGCCCTGGACCCTTAATGCCTGGCCAGATCTCCAGGTTCTCCAGATTGGGAGGCTAGCGTGAAGGGAAGGTCCGGGCAAGCCAAGCTATTCTGGTGGGGCAGAGGGGCTAAAAGGCCCAGGACAGATGTGGAATGCAGGAAAAGCATGCCAGGCAAAACTTATTTAGTCTGCTCCAAGTGCCTGTAATGTGAAACCCATCAATTCTGGGGAGATCGGTATTAGACTCCACCTACACTGGCTTATAGAACATCTTTGAGTTATTCAGAAGAAAGCTTTGTAAGCCTCCTTCAGCATCTTCCCTGATCCTATTGTTCAGGGATGCTATTCTTGGTCCTATGAGGGTTGAGAAATTTAGGACTCTAAGACTTCTACAAGTTGTACAGCAACACGGGAACATTAGCACACAAATCAAGATGCCAAGCAAGCTGGGCATGTGGCAGATGCCATAATTCTAGCTACTTGGAGGCTAAGAAAGGACAACTACAAGTTTGAAGCTAGCTTGGGCAACTCAGTGAGACCTTGTTGCAAAATTTAAAAACTTTAAAAGGGCTGGGAATGTGGCTCAGTGATAGTGAGCTCTCTTAGCATGTACAAGGCCTTGGGTTCAATCCCCAGTACTGCCCGCCCCCCCAAAAGCCAAAGAGCCAAGCAAGAATTACTAACCAGTAACAATGCCACTGAGCACCTATGGTACTAGACAGTGTGTTCTCAAGGTATAGAGACACAGGTTTTATTTTTGTAGACCTTTTGCCTAGATAGCTACACATATAAGTACACGCAAAAGTAGAGAGAGATAGGGAGAGGGAGAGAAAAAAGAACGAAAGGGCAACACAGAGCCTGAAAGATAAATTCATTTATGATTAATTGCTAGAGGGCTAGTGTGGGCTCAAACTGATGAGCAGAGTTCAGAGGAAGGTCAGATCTGTGTGGGCAGGACTGGCTGGAAGAGGTTTAATGGAAGACATGTAGCTGAACAGAAGAAAAGGGAGGAAGCAATTCCCAAAGGAAGGGACAGCAGGGACAAAAGCACAGAGATAGAAAAATTGAAATGTATGTTAACCAGCCCATGAGCGGTCCTTTGGATGAAATAAAGATTAATGGAGGAGAAGCTGGATAGAAAGATACAAGAAGACATTTGATTAAAGTGGAGGAATAGGAACTTTATGAGACTCCACTGGGACACAACATGATAAAAAAAGATGGCTTTTTGCTCATTTTGTAAACTAATCTGGCAATCATAGACAGCACAGCCCTGGGAAGGGAGGATTAAAATCCAGAAGGTCACGCAAGGGCTGTGTGCAGGGAATACAAAGGAATGAATGTGGGACATTTCATAGCAAATGATGTCGCTAGCGTCTGGATGACAAATTAAAGGCAGAGTATCTCACATGTTCTTCCCCACACCAACATGGTCTCAGGAAAGCACCTGGCCAGCTTCATCTCACCCATGTAGTTGTCTGATAGTGCCAATTTGCATACTGATATTTAAACCAAACATGACTAGATATCTAAACAAATTATCATCATGGCTCTTCACACTACTCAAAGACTGAGTCATCTTTTTCTACAGTGACTTTGCCTAGACTAGACTAGAAGTAAGTCTAGTCTGGCCATGGAGGCCCTCTGGCTTAGAAGAAGCTGACAGAGAAGAAATAAGATCAACAAATATTTTTGCCAACAGAGACTTGTGTCCAGCTTTTACCACTGGCTGATATTGTGGGCACCAAGCACAGGCTTGCTAGACCCTGACCCCACTAGGACTTCTTTAGATATTACTAGGGCTTTGTGCATACTTTGGAAAACAACAGCAAAGTATTTGAATTTAGAAGCACAAAACTGAGCCCCTAAAATTCCCTGGTATGAAGGATAATCTACAGGGTTGCTGTTCAGGGAATATCCACTGACTTGGTTGGCCTCCCTTTAAGGACAAAACTGTAATCTTATCTCAGAAAATTCCTTGCTGGCTGTGGTCTTGGGTGTGTTGACATTATTTCTGAAGTGTTGGTATGGGTCGAACTCCTGTCCTCAGAACCCTGGCGATAAACATCTCCAGGAGCAGGGCTTCTCTGCTATCTTGCTGTGATAAAAGGCAGAGGCTTTTCATTTCCCAGGCCCCTAGGATGCACCAAGCTCTAAGATTTATCAACAGGTATTGTGACAGAATAACCAGAGGCCCAGCCACTTTAACTGTGTTTTCTGTCACTGGGCAAGAAATGACTAAGTTCTCTGTTTCAAGGCAGATCTTAGTCTGGCTCTGAAATTCACAAATGCAAACTTGGAATGACTACTTCTCTTCCTTTGTTGTCATCTGGTCCTGCTTTTGTGCTTTCTGCATAAATTAATGGCAAGAATATGAGAGTAGGATATTAAAGAGTGTTAGCTATAGTTTAAAAAAACAAATCAAGGTGTTCTCAATTTTGTTGTTTCAAGTTTATTCTAGGTAAATAACTGGAGCCATTCAATCATGGTCAAAGCAATGGGAATCCAAGAGTAGGAAGCAATTTATGATTCATCCTCTAGTTAGTGTTCTGTCTTGAGACAGGACCATTTCCAAGTCACTTTTTAAAAAAATTTATATATTAATTGGTACATTTTAGGTATACAATACATTTACATTTACCATTGGGTGTTTGTACCATGATAATTATTATTATATATATTTTTTGGTACTGGGATTGAACTCGGGTCCTTGTGCTTTCAAGGCAGGTGGTAGAACCACTGAGCTAAATCCTTGGTCCCATTTCCAAGTTACTCACTATTTGGCCCAGACGGCCTCGAACTTGCAGTGATCCTCCTGCCTCAGCCTCCCAAGTGCTGGGATTACAGGGCTGCTCCACCACACACGACTAAGAAGCTTCATCGGTCTCGTGTAAAATTTGCAAAACTATTTGGAAAGGAGCACATGCTGTGCACTAATGATCACAGAGTGTAAACATGGGATTGGGCTAATGCTTGCTTTACAGCTGCCAATACAGCACTGCCATCTACTATTTTTCTAATCATAAATATTGATTCAGCCTCATTTCCACTGCCCTCAAAGGAAGCTGGAAGTAAAGAAGGACTATACAGTACCTCCTCGACAAAAAGAGAAGATGGTTCCATTAGCTTTGTGGGTTTGGTGTCCCCAGATACCAGAAACAGCGTCCTTGAAAGCATTGGGCCTGGGCCTCAGGGAGTATATGAGTAGAAA